GTGGGAGCTGGGCCCCCTTGCAGACTAACCCCCCGCCTGCACCCCACGCTGCTGCCTCTGACATGGAGTGAGGCCAGAGCCCACTGGCTGCCGGCCCCATCCCTGGGACTCCAGACTAGTCCGTGACCAGTACATTCCTGAGGATACGCGACTTTTCGGCAGGGCTGTCCAGTGTTGGTGGAGGCGTGACCCAGTGCCCCGTCGTTCTAAGGGGCAGCTCTGAAGCAAGCCCTGTGAAGATCCTGCCTGTGTAACCTCACGGTCCCTCTCACGGCCCCCCCTCTAGCGGCTCGGCGCTGCGGCGACGGTGCTGCTGCCGAGGGAGCGAGTGCTGCGGCACCTCTCCGCACTGCGGGGGGCGCTGCAGCATGTCCAGTCCTGGGCCTGCCAGTGTCCCCTTGCGCTGCTCTGGTCTCGTGAGGCTGACCACGAGCCTGGCTGACGGCTGCTGCCACGTGCAAGGCTGCACTCCTCTGGCCCTTTGCGTGGCTTGGAGGCCTCTGTTCTGTGGAGAGGGGGTTCTGGCTGGTGCATGTGCTGACCACTGCCCCTCCTGTTCCCTTGCAGGATCGCTGGACACCCGCTGGCACAGAACGAGCGCTGCTTACACATGTTCCTGCAAGAGGAAACTATAGATAGGAATTACGTCCCAGGGAAAGTCCGCCAGTAGGAGACCCTGATGCTCTGTCTTCCTCCATTCCACCCACCCTCCTGCAGAAATGACATTTATTTTTACACTAAATCGGTCTCTCCTGAACCAGGTTTTCCTCTCTGAACCTCCCCTTTGTCCAGTATTTGCTTTTTTTGTATCTGGCAGCAATGTTGAGTTCAGATTCACTTTGATACCTGCGCCAAAGGGTGTGACGATGTAAGCCATGAACCTGCTGTTGTGCAGCCAGCGGCAGGTGTGAGGGTGGGGCACGAACTGTCTTAGGGCATTATTCCCATGTGTCGAGGCCCCTGCTCCCTGTGAAAGGGTACAAGGGGTGCTTCCAGCCGCATCCTTCACCCTCTTCTCCAAGCAGCCTCAAGCGTTGCGGAGAACATCCGTGCAGAACAGTGAGTGTCGTAGGTCAGTGCCTGCAGCAAGTTGTAGAAGGTTAGCAGGGTTTAACCAAAAACTGAGGAAGCAGGTGCCAGGTAGGATGTCGAGTCCCTTCCTAACCTCGATAAATCCCCTTCTCCGCCCCCCCCATACAAACCTTGATCCAGTGCTGTCTGCACGTGCTGACCCACAGCTCCGCTCTGCCCCAGCTCCAGATCTCCTGCATTACAGCCTGCTCAACATAGCAGTGTTTTCCCCTCTGCTCACAGGCTGCTGGCAGCTTTGGGGGTGTCTGCCCTGTGCGGGAGTTCTCTAGGTGCAGTATTGTTGGCAAGGTGGGTGGAATTGGGCATAGGCTGCCCAGGTAGCTGGCAGGAACGGCTGGTGAGCTCAAACTGCCACCGCTTGCTCTGATGCAGGTTGCAGCATAGCGGGCCAGACCCCCTATGATGCTGTCGAGTTGCTCTCGTCTGTACCTAGAGGGAAAGGTCCTGCCCATCGCTGAAGTGGAGAGAATGGGAGGGGCGAATGGGACGCTCCCGGACAGCGTAGTGCCGAGGGGCAGAAGCAGGCCAGGCACCCGAGGCAGGAGGCTTTTGATCCGTGACTTGCACTGGAAGTGTGCCTTGCCGATGGCAGCCCAAGTATCGGCCACCTCCTGCCCTTCCTTCTCACTCCTCTGCCCCGGGGGCTTTGCAGGCCACATGCTTTTGTATGGTGGAGAAAAGACGAGGGACTAGTCAAGTAGCTGCTCTTGGGTGAGGGGGGCAGTGGGCTGTGAACTGCTGATGCTCCCTTAGTGTAACAAGTCAGCGGAGGCCCCAGAGCCAGGCACGACCTCCATTTGCTTCATAGTATCTCGCAGGGAGCAGAGGAGGTGAGCTCGAGGGGGCGCTGTCGGAGCAGGGCTGCTCTAGCTTCTGAATTGTTTGTGCAAGTGACCTGGCCTTTGTCTTCACCAATAAATGGGGTGACGAGGCCCCCACGGACCCACTGAGCCCTGCTAAAGCAGCAGCAGGGTTCCAGTGAAGAGCGTTCGTGCCTCGGTGCGGGGGGCAGGGCTGGAAAACCCAAGGGAGAGTAAGTCACTGAAGCAGGCTGGTGAGCTGCCCCTGGCACTGGCTCTGGACTTGGACTGCGAGCAAGGAGAGGCTCCTGGAGGTGGGGAGGCGCTAGGTCGAGTTGCTGCTTTGCAGTTCTGCACTGTCCAGTCGCTCTGCTGCTTGGATTGAAGTGGCCTCTTGGGTCCTCCCTTGCTAACGTTTTCTTTGATGCGATCTGCTGCCTTTGATCTGTACTAGGCACTTTTAAAAGTTCCCTTCATTGCTGTACAAGCGCTGAGCGACTGAAGGCTGTTCCTGCTGTGTGTGTATCTTGGTGTGGGGCTTTAATTCACAAACTCTCCATTCTGCCGTCTGATGTAATGTCCAAGTTCTGTTCATATTAAACCACTGTGAAGCCAATGTCTGTGTGTTGTGACCCTGAAGTGTGTGTGGGGTGCTTCTGACTCTGTGCTCGTGAGAACTAATAGCACTGCTTGGATCCCTGGCGTGGTTGTGGCAGGCCCAGAGGGCTGTAGGTCCCCAGGTGTCTAGCCAGTACACTTCAAGTACAAACTCCAGCAGCGCCACTGCATTCTGGCTGGCTGAAGACCAGCTGTTGCACTCTCCTGCAGCATGAGCGTTTCTCTGAGTATCCAGGAATGTGGTGCTGCTGCAAATGGGATAGATTCTGACCTTCTCAGGAAGACAAGGGCGTGGGGGTAGAGCTGGTGGTACTACCGAGCGTTCCCATTGCACAATGCTGACTGTTTTCAGTTACAGCTTCACCCACCTCTTCCATTCAGCATGGAGTCTTCTGGGCGAGGTGTCAGTCCAAATCATTCAGCCATTTGAGAATGAGATGGTGGGGAATGTTTTGCCCACTCCTCTTAAATGGAATCGTTTACCCACGATGCTCTCCTGCCTCTGTTTTGTGGAAACAAGGAGTCCAGTGGCATGTAAAGCCAATAGCATGGCTTGAGGCATTAGGAGTATGAACTACAACTTTCTCCCTCTCTCTCCACTGATCTTTTTCCACTTTTTTTTCCTGGAAGAGGCTTATCTGACATTTGGCCTGTCAGCCTGGGGCCAAATGTGGGGGAGAAACCTTTTTTGGAAGAGCCCGTATTCCTCATAAAATGAGTACAGGGCTTCCGACAATGCACCTGCGTCTTCAGCAACTGTTCAGAAAAAGCAGGCGCGTTCCCTGGAGGCAGCAGAGTTTTAAGAACTCTAGTGTAGACGCCTCAGACACTAAAGAGAAAAGGATAGCACGGAGTGTGACAGCAGCGCTGTTTAATCAGAAGGGATGTTGCTCATCTCCAATGATGGGAGGAGGGGCTGCAATTTGGGGGAGGGGTGCCATGAGGCAAGGGATATGCCTTGTGCTGTTCCTGGGGGCGAAGCTCCCCAGATTTGCCTAAATGATGAGCATTTGGGGGAGGGATGATCTGTTTTGCACATAGACTTGTTAGTGTGTAAACCCTTTATTTTTTCTTTTGCCAAAATATTCTTGAATTTTACAAAAATGACTTCTGATGGGTTTTTCCCTCATGGGAATGAATTTTGACCCACTCAAGTACATGAAAATAGGGGCTGTTAGGATAATCCAGTTAGATGTGTATTAAAGGGAGTTACGTGTAAATGTGAGCCTGTTAAAAGCAAGGGGCTGTAGTGGAAGATACAAGGGAGTTAAGTGTAAATGTGAGACTGTTAAAAGCAAGGGGCTGTAGTGGAAGATACACGCACACAAGCGAGGGGTGGCTAACCCCTTCCAGACAGAGCCACAAGAGCAGTGGTGACAGTGTGAAGAGCCGGGGCAAAGTTGTTGAGCCGCCCCTTCCCCCCAAAAAAGCACCACGCTGGGGGCCAATAGGTGCTGGTACACTCTTGTTGAACGCCCCCTGAAAAGTGACCAGCACCTGTGCCCCCAGTGTGGCGCTTTTGTTGAGAAAAAAAAAAAAATCCTTTGCCCCGGCTCTTCACACTGTCCCCACTGCTCTTGAGACTCAGAAGGGAAGCACGGGGCAGGGGTGTGAGGTGCAAGCTCTGGGAGGGGGGCTGGGTGCAGGAAGAAGTAAAGAGGACTCTGGCTCAGGGAGGAGGTGCCAGGCTGGAGAGTGTTGGGGTCAGGTGGAGGGCTGGGGTGCTGAGCAAGCTGCAGGCTTGTGGCTGTGAGGGTGCGTGAGGGGCTCAGGGCAGGGAGGCTGGGAGTATGATGCGCTCAGGACACAGAGCTGCAGTGTGAGGATGGGGCAGGAGACTGAGGATGTGGGGGTGCAGGAGTTTGGGGATGAGAGGCTCAGGATGGGGTTCCACTGTATGATAGGCTCAGATCTAGGGTCTGGGGGGGTACAGGTGTTATGATGTTGCAGCCAGATGGGGGTTTGTTGGCCAGGCTTCATTTTTAAATAAAATGTCTCAAACCAAAAGTTTCCGCGTTGTCTTTATTTCTGAGAAGGGCGAGGAACCTGTTTGGAGTCAGGTCACTGACCCACTGGAAAGTCAGTTGGGGCCACACAAGTGAGATGCAAAAAAAAGCTCCTCCAACCCCCCCAAGCCTCACTAATGTGGCCCCAACTGT